TTTCCAGCTTGGAGGCCGTTCCGTAGCGCGAACACGGCCAGGCCTTGATCCAGGCTTGTGATTCCGGATGACTCGTTGCTGAAGCGAGTCAGATAGTCGCGGAGGCTCTCGTCCTCCGCCTGCTGCAGACTCATTAGCTCTGCAGTGGTCTTCTCTCGGCGGTTGGCCGTAGAGAATTTGCTCTTGAACTTGTTGGAGAGGTCGTTCCAACCGGTTATGGAGCCTTCCTTGAGCCCTTTGGTGATCCAGGATTGGGCAACACCTTTGAGGGTCGTAGGAAAGTATTTACACCAGGTAGCCTCAGACCTCGGGTTCAGATACATGTGCCCCTCGTAAGAGGCAATGTGATCCTTAGGATCTGAGGTACCATCGTAAGTAATATGTGCCGGGATTTTGACCGTTGGCACATGCTCTTCCAGAATCCACTTCTGGAAGGGCGAGTTCGATGGAACCATGACCGCCTTCCCCTTGTACCCGGCCTCAGGGACCTCGCTCCCTCCTCTCTCAGAGGTGGAAGTGGTTTTCGTCCCCGGCTGAGACAAGGTTGGGTGGGGTCCGGTATCCTCTGGGAAGGTGAGGCGGCTATGCACACTCACCTCCCTCGAACCCAAGCGTTCGTGAACGCTTTGGCGGGCGAATTCCGGGTCCTTGTAGGGACCCATGGAATTCTGAGCTTCAGAGTGGTCAGAGGGTTGAGGGTTCCTCCTCCTCTCCTTACTGGAGTTTCGGGTGTCCCCTCGCCACCTCTGGCCGAGTTGTCTATGTGGTGGAACTTGTCCACCATCATCCTGACCGATCCTCCTTTTCAGGTTTCTCGGCTGGTGATCATCAGGCATCTGGATTGGAGCCCCTTGAGCTTTAAGGAACTCCATGCAGATGGCCACTGCTCTGGCCACTTCCTCGGTGGAGGGTCCGGAGGGAGGAGTCTCCCGCGGATGTGACCTGGATTGCACGCTATGGCGCGGCGGGGAGTTCCTCGCACCTGAGCCACTCGGTCTCGGGGATGGCCCCGGCTGCCGAGTGTGGTGCGAGGTGTTCTCCTCCTGGAGGCTAGGACCTCTTGAGGCTTCCCTTTCCGGAGAAATGGGGGCCTCCGATTCGGAAGAGGCTTGCTCCGGGGAGGGATAAACCGGCTGGCGTTCCCTCACCGTGATCTGGCCTCCTCCCTTCTTAGCCTTCTTGGAACTCTTTCCACTCTTAGTCATGGCGACTGCCGGAGTGTTTGATGACTGACGCGAAATTTAGTAGCGGTCCCCACAGACGGCGCCAAATTGTTTCGGATGAAAACAATCGAATCTCGGAAGATCCTTTTATCTTGAGGGAACTTGGTCTCGGTCCGAACGACGCAGGAGCCGAGGGTTTCCTGCACAACAAATACACGTAAACTAGCCTCGGGGGGACGCCGAGGAAGGCCCCTCCGATGCTTAAGTCAGTATATTAGAGAGAGAAAGCTGTGCAAGAGTTTAGTTGCTTGAGGCTTTTTTGTCTTACCAAGAATTGACCAAATTGTTGGCTTTTATACCTTGGCTAATGAAGGAGGCGGATTGGGCCCGGAAGTCAGTTGGGCTGGGCCAAGCTGATTGGGCCGTTGACTGACCTTGACATGGCTTTGAGGATGTTGATTTTTGACTTTAGCACATTTGGAGAGTTGAACCTTAGCCTTGGGCTTTTAATTGGATCATTCAGTGACCAGGCCCAATTGGACTAAATTGGACCCAAACAACTCTTATATAAGATGCTTTGCTAATCTAGCTTTTTGCGTCACTCTGACATCTGTGCTACTGCTAATGTGATATACTTATCTACTCTACAATATTAGAGCATAACTTCATTCTTGTCTTTGTAAGTTCATCGTCCTATCCCTTATTTATTTTCACTTTATTAAGAGTTTTATTGAGCGAATGGATAAATTTATTTACCCTGTATGAGATTTTATTATGTATGAGTCAATCTTTCTAGGAGAATTATTAAAATAAATAAATAAATAACCGAGATACAATAATCTTATTAAAACAAAGGCAGTACTTAAAAATTGAGGCAAAAAAGTACTTTTTCTTAAGGTTCCCTACGCGGAAAAATGTTTATAACTCAATAAAGAAGTCGGTCAACATTTTATCAATTCATTTTTAATACAAGATGCAAAGTTTCATCAATCATCAGTATATATGATCTGTGCCTTACTTTGTGATTAAATTAACTATGTATGATTTACTTTGTTATTGAAAGCTTCTTTTTGGAGTTTTGACATGCTAGTTGTGATGTACAAGAGGAATATATACCATAATAATCTCTAATTAGAGGAGAAAAAAGGTTGTTAGTGTGGCTTTTAGTTACTTTAATGGTATCTAAAGACGTTTAGGGTTTATTTTATTTATAATTGAAATGTACTCTGTATAAGAAACAATAATGAATTTAACAATCTTCTCAAATTAGAGAATATCTAAGCTATATTATTGTTCAATACACTATGATTATTATTATAAATATGGAGTATCGATTATAATGCATTTAGTCTATTTTTAAATAAAAAGAATAGAATTAAATTAAATGAAATAAATAGGTAAAATAATTATTATCCGGTTAACCGGCTTGGCCTTAGAAATTACTTTATATAGATTATAGAGTATGAATAGAGAAATAAAAAGCTTATAAATTGAAGATATAACTACTAACAGGTGATTGACTGATTGCTTTCAATAAGGTTCAATCTCGATCATCATGTTTATAAGGAAGCAAATAGTATAAATAGCACACTAAATGTCTTCTCTAGACTCTAGGTCATATGACAAAAAGTTACAAATTACTCCCTAATAAATAAATCTTTTTAAATTGGTCATAGGTTGAAGAAAACTTTCTTTACAACTCACATTGCAACTCACAAGTTAAGGAAAAATCACTACTAGAAATAGGCTAAATTCCGACGGAAAAATTCCGTCGGAAACACCCTGAAATCTGTCGGAAATAGGGTTTCCGTCGGAAGAGGTTGTCGGAAAATTAGTTGTAGGAAAAATGAACTTTTCCGATGAAAATTCCGTCGGAAACACTATTCCGACGGAAAAATATTTTCAGGTACTGGAATAATCCGTCGGAAATTTCCGACAGAATTTCCGTCGAAAATTGCTTTTTTGAAATTTTAAAAAAATACGCCGCGCCACTACGGCACGGCGTATCACCGCGTATCACCACCTCTTACCACCAAAAAACACAAAATCCCAACCCCTAACTCATAACGGAATTCCAGAACCACCCCACCACCCATAACCACCAGATTTACCACCCCACCCACAAACCCCAAATCTACCACCCCACCCACAACCACCAGATCTACCACCCAACCCGAACTTCAACAGCCCACCCAAACTAAACCCCCCCCAACCTAAGCACCACCCACCGCAGCCCCTATCCCACCATTAAACACCACCATCGACACCAAATCCACCTTCAAACACCGCCACCGACACCCACCCTAGCCCCTTCCCACCTTTTAACACCACCACACCAAAAATAAACCCCAAAAAACACAAAAATTAGCAAAAAAAAAAAAAACTAAAAATAACCCCAATAATCGAAATCAACCCAAAAATACGAAAATTGAGACAAAAAAATCGAAAAAACACCACACAAATAAACCAATAGATCTACATATTTAACAAGAATTTCATAAAGAAAATTAAAAAAAAAACGTTAATTAAACCACAAAAATTAAAGGAAATATATAATTATACAATCATCTAATAAAATTTATAAATTAACATTACAATTTCATAAAAAATTAACTAAATTATGCGCATGTACGTGGTCGCCGTTCTTGTTGTGGTCGTCGTTGTTTTTGTAGTCGTCTTCGGTGTTGTTGTAGTCGTCTTCGTTGTTGTTTCTTGATCTTTATGGTATTGTTGTTGTTGGTGGTGGTAGGGGGTGAAAGAGGAGATGAAAGGAGGAGGAATGAGAGAGAAAGAGAGGAAAGAGGACGAGAGAAGGGCGGACGAAGGGGATGAGGAGAGAGAAAGAGAAGAAAGGAAAGGAGGGGGATTAAGGAGAGAGAAAGAAGAGGAAAGAGAAGTGAGGGAAAAAAAAGGGGCGGCTAGGAGGATTAGGGTTAGAGGTTAAATACCACACAAATATTTTTTTCCCCTTTTTTTTTATAGTTTTTCCGTCGGAAATTTCCAACGGAATATTGTTCCGTCGGAAATTACCTTCTCCGACGGAATATTCTGTCGGAATGTCCAATTATTCCGACGGATTTATTTTCCGTCGGAAATTTCCGACGGAGTTTTTTAATTCGTCGGAATTGTCCGACGGAAATTAAATCCGTCGGAAAATATCGATTTTTCCGACGGATTTTCAGGTCCGTCGGAACTGGTCCGTCGTTATTTGACCTGATTCTTGTAGTGAACATTGCCATGTGAGATCTTGTTAGATTTTTCTCGATTTATACTTTCATATTATCACATTTTTATATTTTTACTTATTAAAAAAAATGTAATAATTGAAACAATATATTGACAAATATAAAAATAGAAGTAGTGCAAGTAATAAGAAGCAAATAAAATACCTAGCTAGTTCTATATTTTCAAGGAAGAATGGTGGTAAAAACATACTCTAAATTCTGTTCAAAAAAAAAACTCTAAATTAATTTTGTCATTTTAACAGTAATTGTTTATCCATGGCATTTTCGTAAATAAATAATAAACCAATTTTTTTTTTCACTAGTAGAAAAACGTACATTTGCATCGCCATATTTGCGTCACTCATTAGAAAGAACGAAGCAAATGTTAAATTTTACCATCCTGAAATGTTATTTGCGTCGCATATTTATCAAGAAGCGACGCAAATAACTGTTGTATCGCAGATTTTTATTATTTGCGTCGCTCTTATTTATTGAAGCGATGCATATAATAATCTTATTTGCGTCACTCATTTATTGACAAGTGACGCAAATGAGTGAGTGAATAAATTGCGTCACTCTTTTAATAAATGAGCGACGCAAATGACTAATATACAACATTATGTTTTTGTTATTTGCGTCGCATTTTAATAATGAAGGGACGCAAATGTATCTTTTGCATTTAGGTTATTTCATAATTTTGACCTTAGTTTTTCACGCCTACCTTCCACTAAACAAAAAGAAAAAACAAGTTGCAACTCCAGTGAATTTCTACAGCCAAAACACCCACAAATTCGACCCTTAAATCCAACAAATTCGGCCAAAAAAACACCGATTCCTCAGCAAATTCAACATTCAAAATCGCAATCAAGTTGAAGGCTTATAATCGGCAGCAAATTTGAGCAATTTCGAGCAAAAATTTGGACCAAAAACCCTAAGAAATCCGAACCCATAAACCCCAGAAAAATTGAGCATTTCCCACAAAAATTCCCCCATTTTGAGCAAAAAATCTACTCAAAACCATAGGAATTCGAACCCTAGAAACCCCAAAAAATTCAATTAAAAATCCTGGCCTCATATTCGAGCAATGACTGAAAGTTTCGATTGGAAAAATCGATTAATTTCGCCCCCAAAAACACCGGGGAAGTTCTAGCAAATTACAGCAACAATAATTGAAGTTTGATTAGTGTAGCAGTTTGACATTGTTGAATTTGTTGAGTTTATTTCACCTAAGGTAAGATTTCTTGTATTTAGTGAAGTTGTATATTTTTTTTTTGTCCAATTCATTAGTTCTGTTCTAGGGTTTTTTTATTTTTGATTTGTGTTTCTGTAATGCGTAAACATTTCATGAAATTGAAGTCATAATTGCTATAGAACTCAGAATATGGTTTGAGGGAATGGCTCATTCATTTAGTTTAAAATGCAATTTATAATTTCTGAAAATGGTTTGCAGTTTTGTTCTCTGAAAATGTGTTGAAAATGTCAATGAAAATGTCAAAAAGTATTGAGAATGTTAACTTGGACTCGAGTATTAATGTCTAACAAAGTAACAATGACGAGTTCTTGTGCTCTGCAGCCTGATATCACGGCACCAGGAGTGAATGTCTTAGCTGCATACTTTGGAGCTGTAAGTCCAACAGAGGAACCTTATCCCATAAGCGTAGAGTTTCCTTTATGTTAGACTCGGGTACTTCTATGTCTTGCCCTCATATATCTGGGTTTGCTGGCCTTCTCAAGACTCTGTACCCTACATGGAGCCCTGCCGCAATAAGATCTGCTATAATGACTACCGGTAACCCTGCAACTCTTTTTCTGATCTACTTATTATTTGGATTGAAGTCATGAGCATATGAAACATTTCTGGACAAAATCTAGATAATATATGACATTTTACATTTTATTTTGTGGCAGCTACAGTCAAATATAACACAGAGAAGCCAATGCTGGATGCATATTTCACAACAGCCGATCCATTCGCCTATGGAGCAGGACATGTTAGACCAAACAGTGCCATGGATCCAGGGCTAGTCTATGACTTAACCACACGCGATTATTTAGAGTTCCTTTGCTCTCTTGGCTATAACAAAACCATGCTCCAGTCCTTTGATCCTTCCTACAAATGGCAAGCATCAAACACTAAAAGTAGTGGCCTATTGAACTTCAACTACCCTTCAATCACAATGCCTAAACTATCTGGCTCAGTCACTGTCACTCGAACAGTTAAGAATGTGGCAGAGGCCTCGACTTATGAAGCTCGTGTGACCCAACCAAACGGCGTTGAGGTCACTGTGGAACCGAAGTCTTTGCAGTTCACGAAAGCTGGAGAAGAGAAGAGTTATAAGGTGACCCTCAAAGCTCAAGCTGGTGGCTTGCCAGCAGGGTACGTTTTCGGAGAGTTGATATGGTCAGATGGAAATCACTTTGTTAGGAGCCCCATTGCAGTTGCTGCAACAGTTTAATAGCGTCTTACTGTCAAATGTAGTTGTTAACTTGATGCTTGCAAACAATTTGTAGGTCCATTTGAAAAATTTACACAGGTTACCATGATCGTCCCATTAACAGGACAACGGTATTCAAATAAACTGACAGAAAATTGCATTGCATTCTGGAAGGCCATCGGAATCTACACCGATGAAGAAGCAAAGGCGGTTGAAAAATTCCTTGACATCTTTAAGGACAAGAAGTTTCCACAAGGGCATTCTATTTTGTTTACACAATCACTCTGGGATCACCAACGGTTAGTAACATATATTATGTTCAATAAAATTAATTTAAGTTCATGCAATGTGGATGTTTTAGTCTAAGAAGTTAGAACTCAATTTGGTGTGTATCTTGAATTTCATGTGTTAAACAGATAGGATTTTCCAAGCATGATAGCATTCCAATTGTTGGAAGTGCTGTGATAGAGAACAAAAACTTGGCAGAGGCTGTACTAGAATCCATTTCAACACAGGGGCCTTTATTTTAGCTTTAGCCATTAAAGCTCTGTATTAGAATTGATAGTCTTGGTTCTTTATGACATGGTTGACTGATTGATACTTGAGCATTGTTGTGTCAAGTATGGGCAAACTAGCCATTTTGATATGCTTGTGTTATAGTGATCTCTTGTAATCAGTAATCAGATTTAGTGGTTGTTTGACATTTGTCTTGACAGAGGACTACTTTTTGGGTTTTGGTTTTGGCTATTTATAGAAATTTGAGATTTGTTACTTCCTTCTTGATCTTATATATTTTCTTAATCGTTCTAAATTCAATCAAAGACATGATCCCTGATGCGACACATATTTGCTGCTGTTGATTCAATGTAAAGCTATTTATCACCCAATGCTTTTAGGTGGAGCTGGGCATCAATATCTTGCTACTATGTGACGTGATCACGTTGATTCTTAAATGGTCTCTTCAATGTGATTGTACCTTTTTTTTTTTTATAAATAAGTGTGATTGTACTTTGTTAATGCTATGTTACCTGAACTAAGTATCTTGACCTTTGGGAAGAATTTATAGTTTGATTTATACATGGGATAATGTTCTAGTTTGAGGAGAAAAGAAGGATGCCAATGGATGCACTTTAGAGAGGGTAAAATTTATGGAGAAGCAACTTAGATTCAACTCAGTTCCGGATTTGTACTAGTTTTTCACTTTTTCATTGTGGATAGCACAACAAGCTCTTTAACTAATTGATAGCAGAGCAAGCTCTTGATCTTTTTTATTGTTGATCGAATATCAAGCTCTTTTAAAGTATGATTTAAAGGAAACAACCACTTTCTTGCAAATTTATGGGTAAATCTAATAAGTACTTGAGAGTTGAGACTAGGGCAAGTATTATTGTTCGCCGTAACTACCTTCATTACATCAAGAAGTACCAAAGGCAAGTATTAGCTATTTTGTTTTCCCAAGTGCTGTTGTGTTATATGTGATTGTTCGGTATTCTTATTATTTTGTTTGTTGTTATGTTGCTTGCAGGTACAAGAAGAGGCATTCAAACATCCCTGCACATGTGTCACCCTGTTTCCGTGTCAAGGAAGGAGACCACGTTATCATTGGTCAATGCAGGTCAGTTGCTCTTGGAGCACTTTGGTTGATATTGTGTTATTTGTGTATATTTCTAACAGATCTCAGTGTTTAACTTGATCATATTTCCCTGATAATTATCCAGGCCTATCTCAAAGACAGTGAGGTTCAATGTGTTGAAGGTGATTCCAGCTGGAGCTGCTGCTGGTGGAAAGAAGGCTTTTGCCGGAATTTAAGGTGTTTTTTGGATAGATATTGTGATGTAGCTAAGATCTATCACAGGGCTTGGAAATTAGTATTGTTTGCAGACCCTTGAATTTTGATACTTGAAGCATTTTCATGATTACTAAATACTATGTTTCTTTTGTTAAAATCATATTGGGAAATTGTAGTACAAACATCTTTATGGTATCAAATGTTTTGTCTTAGGACCTCCCGCAAGTTTTGGCAATATAGTTGCAATGACTCCCTTTCAATTATATTAGCGTTAGCATATAACTTTATACCACTAGCAAGGAAAACATGTACTACAAACATATACAAGGCAATTATTATAATTAAAAAACACAAAAATTAACCTCATTTGCGTCGCTCATTAAACAAACAAGTGACGCAAATAAAGCAATTTTGTATTGTCTAGACAGTTATTTGCGTCACTCCTATATAAACAAGTGACGCAAATAACAAACAAGAAGTTTATCTGAAGAGTCATTTGCGTCGCTCTTTTATTAAGGAGTGACGCAAATAACAAACAAGAAGTTTATTAGAAGAGTCATTTGTGTCGCTCCTTTATAAAGGAGTGACTCAAATAAGAGTCATTTGCGTCGCTCTTTTATAAAGGAGCGACGCAAATGACTTTTATTTGCGTCGCGAGCAGTTGCGTCGCTCATAGAAGCGACGCAAATACACTATAAATGAGCGACGCAAATGAACCTTTTTCTACTAGTGTTTAAAAGGTGAGCTCTATAGTTGAGATTGGATAAAGTTGTTGATTTATTTACAAAAATGCGAAGTATATGACTTAGAGGTGATCAACATTGACCCAGCCCGCTAGCCCGACCCGATCCGACCCGAAAATAGGGTGGGTTTGGGCAAGCATAAAAACGCATTTTTAGTTAAAAAGTCCAAACTCGGCCCAAAAAAGCCCGTTTTGGCCCAACAAGCCCACTACTTTTTTACGGGTTTGGCAAAATAAATTGTGTTAAGGCCCATCCCGGCCCGATTTTTTATCACCTCATCACCTCTATACATGATAAACAAAAATTGTTAATTTTCATTGAGAGTAACTAGGGCAAGCTCATAATTTAGGATCCCACCTTAATTATATAAAGAACATTATGCAATTAAACTACTACCTGGCTAGTTCTTACGTCCATTATTACTCCCTAGCTAGTACTCCGTAATTATATAGCCTAACTTTGCACATTTGTAACCTACATTCCCACTAGCTATTTCATGTGTTTAAATGGCAAAATTTAATTGCGTAATTCATTAAAGGTTTTTAAATAAACCACCATTACTTTTTTCGAACTTGTACCACTTGAAGGTTTAAAAGTGGCAAGAAAGGGATTGGTCAAGTATAGTCTACTTGCTAATTAAGTGGCAGTAATAGCTAGCTAGGCTACTACATTTGCTCGGGGAAAGATCAAATATTCAATTGCATGCCACATTTATGAAATTAACACGACTCAATAATTGAGTTTTTTTTTTTTTGGTCAAATTTGCCTCAATCTAGATACAGTTAGGTCCTATTCTTTTGAGCTATTATGTAATTATGCTTTGCTGATTTATATGGCCTGTTTTACTAATACCTGCTAAAATATGAGCTTCTACAAGATCAAAATAACAAGCCCTTAACATATGTACCCTATACAAGTATACATATTTTAAGGAATCCATGTAATAGATTGAGAGGTAAAACATGACCCATATGATGATGAAATCGAGAAATAGAAAGAGTACGAAGTATATATGGGGAAACGTGTAATATTAAAATTACGATTGAATTGTAATACTACAGTACTACTGATATGACTTTTATTTTTACATGATATAGGTTGGACTTAAACTTCATTTGTCGTTGTAAAAAAAATAAAATAAAATACATTTGTATGGTTGAGCTGACTATAAATAACATTAACTTATTTTACTGGTTTTTTGAAGCATAATTATATGCTACGCTCGATATATAAGAAAGAGAATAGATATATTATATTGTTAGTTCGAATAATAATGCTAACCCCAAATTACTCCTACAGGGAGTAGTCCTACCCAATCAAACCGTTTAAAAATATGAGATATTACTATGATTAAAGACTTGATCTTGCATTAAGTCGAAGTAATAAAAGTTGGACTTTTTTTAATTTTAAAGGGTGATTCTTTAAACCTGGCTTTCATGAAAGAATAACTTTTAATATGACTATGTCTTACAATCTATTATTGTAAATTCATTTTATATATACGTAGCACATACCTGTATGTACTCCCTAAAAAAAAAAAAAGACTTGGGATTGATTTATATAAGTAATGATTAATATTTTTCCCTAAAAAAAAAATATAAGTAATGATTAATATTTGATTACTAAAAGTATTAAACAGATTAATAATATTGAGTAGGAGTATCTTAAAAAGCAATCTTCTGCAAAAGAGGAGCAAGATGACAGAGGGTTTCTTTTTTGATGAAAAAGATGACAGAAGCTTAAGCTTTACTGTACTAGAATAGAAAACAATACAGTGCTTTTGGTCGTTATTCTAAGCGATTTGCAACCCAATTTGGAGGTGGAAAATCCAAATTTGGAAAGCTTAAAATTCCTCTCCTATTTCAACCTAAATCAAAATATCATTTTCTCACCCCACAACAAATAATAGAGAAAAGGAATAAAACATCATTTTCGCTGACTATATTCTAATATTCATCCTCTCTCTCTTTATTTTTTTATAAACAATTACTGTATATATGTACACAAACATAAATTATGTTGTATCTAAAAGAAAATTGTACTAAGTAAGCAAGAAGTTATTGAAATTTTTTTTGATATCACAATACTTGCTTGTCAATTGATGATAAGTTCTGATTTTCAAAGGTCTTATTAAAAGAAGATTGGTAAAATATAATCTTAACTTTACTCGATTAGCAAAATATTATCAAAAATTTGCTCAAAACAACATGATTGTGGTCAGATTACTCAAATGTTTATGATTACATAGTTATATATATGGTCAGATTGCAAATATATCACATATATGGCTACAATAAGTTGTATTAATCTTTTTTTTTTTTTTAATTTAAATTGATTATTTCTAAACACTATTATTTTAATAGTTAGAGCATGGCCCTTGCCCCCTTGGTGGAGGCACATTGACAATAGTAGTTCAACTAAAAATTTGGGAAAATTTACTCAACTTATAAGAGTTAATATTAACAAATATCCTTCTTAGCTTATTAATTACCATAACTCTAATAAATCCTCACATAATTAATTATTTAATTATTTGAATCCACCATTGAGCATGAAATCGTGCATATATATGCTGGTTAAAAATTGCCATGCATGGTGACTGATGAGTTTACATTCACTAGTCTACAGTACGTATTTCACTAATTCAAAATAAATTAATAATACAAGTATAGTAAACGAGTGGGTGGAATCTAAGGAAATTATGCTAATAGAATTAAGTTTCTTCTCAACTATATTTCATGAGTTGTTATTATACTCTAGAGACTAGATGCATATTGACGATATTGTACAATTACTATATTCATTCTTTCTCTATCTTCTTATTTATATGGTCAAACTTTAAGATTAACTTTTATTATAATATCATACGATGTATATCAATAGTAATGTTAAAGTATAACTCCCATATATGGAACGTATGTGATGAGTGTCTGATACTCTGATGTTAAATAAGAAATAAATTTTACAAAATTAAGGCTAATTACCAATTAATTTTGGGATAAACCCTCATTTCATCTTAAAAAAAAGTAGACTCTCTCTTAATATAATGACGGTTTTATTACTTGTATGTGATCTGGCCAATATCACAAATTTAATAGTCACTATATGAACAGGATATTATATGCAAAATAAATAGAAAGATTTTTTAGGAACAGAGGTAGCTTCTCAAGATTTTTTTTTATTTATTATTATTTTATTTTTTTCTCTGAAAAGAAGGACAATTATTCTAATATGCTTTCTCTTGGCTTGTACAAGGACTATGGTTGTTTAAAATACCCTCAGCTTTGAATCTTGTTGAGCACTATAGATAATGAATATATTCTGTGTAATACCTCTCAAATTGGTTTAGATGAACAGGGTATGTTCTTATTGATTGAACTGAGCTGAACTGAACTGAATTGAACTGAATTGATCTGAAATGAATTGAACTTATTAGAGGTGAACTGAACTGATTAGAGCTGAACTGAACACTACAAGAAAAATATCTTTTCGTAGCGATTGTACATTCGCTACAATATACAAGTATGTTTGTGAAATAATTAAGGAAGTCGTATCATTTTACAATCGTCATGGTTTTCCCATATAAAATCGATACGGAAAACATAATAATACATATATATCCACACTATTTTTTACACATTTATATAATTTTGAGAAATCTTATCGTTTACAATCGCCACTAAATCCTAAAAATTGATACGAAAAGCCTTTTCAACACTAGATATATAAATATTGTTTGACAAAGAATACATAAAATGTATCATAGCTTATTGGTGAAACATTTAATTATAAGAGTTTGAGGTTGCATGTTCGAATCTTGTAAAGAACATACGCATGTTTTTTTTTTTTGCAATTACAATCGATACTAATGGTTAAAATAATCGCTACAAAAAGGTTATTTTCTTGTAGTGGAACTGAATATTTTATAAGAGAAGGAAATTAGAAGCTGAACTGAACTGAATTGAACTTATTAGAGCTGAACTTAATTGAAAATAATTATATCAGTACAGGGCCTTAATATAATACTCATATCAACAAGATCCTTTTTTCCTTTAGGGGGCTGATAAATGCTAAGATACTTTTTATGTTAAATGTGCTCGGCTGAGGTACTGGTTAGATAGTCTCCAATAACATTATTATATTAACAACCTTCATACAAAAAGAAATAAACCCTGCCCAGTGACCACAAACATACTATAAGGATTAAGGAATGAATAAGTTTGTATATAGGATTTGAATTTGTGACCTTAACGCTATAAGTAAGAACAAAAATGTCGTAACCACCTTAGACCAAGCTTATAAAGTATAGTCGTGTAATTTTAAATTGGAAATTATATAGTTCATAAAACTACTTGTATGTTTTGAATCAAATACTAAATTGAAAATTATTTATATGTTTTAAGTTAAGTTAATTGGTTAAGTCTTGAAGATGATACTCATCAAATCAAGACCTTAAATCAAAATCAGTCGTCTATATCAATGTCCTATTGTCCTTTAATAGTACTATATAAAATGACGCATGGTTGATAGTTATATACTCATATATTATGAAGTATATACCTATTATGTCACATTGTCACTTGTTTAACAGCTCTATTATGTTAAATCAAAAGTTACAATGACTAAACGAAGCTACGCAAATGTGTATAAAAGGTTATTGCAAAAAAAAAAAAAAAAAAAAAGGTATAAAAGGTTGTTATTGAAGGAACAAAATGTGAGTACTTTACTTTTGATATTCTTTTGATCTTTCTTGATTAATGAAGATGTCTAAAGTTTTCTACCCAATTATCATTGGCCTTGGGGTAATCCGACAGCAGTACTACTAGTCAATTAGACCTTTTTCATAGCTTAGTTGAAATCTTAAGGAAGTTGCTCTCAAAACCATAAAAGTGGTCATTTGGCAAATGGATTTACCTTTTTAATTGAATTCAAATATTTGGTAACTACTTTTTTTTTTATTGAATTTGATTTAAGCCAAAAATAAGACCGTTATGATCTAGGAAATGAAGATTGAACAACAATCTTTATTTTTTTTTATTTATTATTTTTTTTATAGACAAGATTGAACGATAATCTTAAATATGGAGTATATATAATTATATTTTTGTAATTTAGAAAAATAAAAACGATAAAATCACACATTAGTGACAAATGTTCGATTGAACTTAATATATTACAAGTATTAAAATATTTAATTTTGATCTCAATATATATATATATATATATATATATATATATATATATATATATTTTATTTTTTTTAGAAAAAACTCAATATATATTCTTATTATCAATTTTCTTTATATCTGTTAATACTAATGGTCAACTTTAAAAATATAAACTATAAAAAGTCAAAATAATCACGTATTGAGTAAAAAAAGATACTCCATATAATATTACAGAGTACCTTCATTTCAGAAAAAATTGAAGATTATGACATTACATACAAATCATTTAGAAATTTTAACTATAGTTTTATTCAATATATTATACTACACAAAAATTACTAAGATTATGACTAATTACAATTGTCAAACGCGCCCCAAAAAGAGTCCAGCAAACAAACAATCACAATATTACTTGGATCATTATGTCGTTTGGCAACAAGGCGGCTGGTACATTTTATTTAATTAGTATATCTTAATGCAAAATTAAAGCAATATAGTACCATATTTTACCAAATAATTCAATGTGGAAAATCTTATATAATGATTAGCATAAGTAGTAAGTTAGATACGTCCTAAAGTAATGATGTCTTGGAAGATGAAGGTATAGGTAATGCATCAACATCGCAGCCATTGTGTTGGAGATTATTGTTTACTCTTTGAATACGTAACATTCTTTCCTTAGTGTCGGACCAATTTTTTTTCCCTCTTTTGGAATTATTTTAGCATATAGCAAAGTCAATCATATACATTGTATGAATACTTTCTTAAAAAGAAAAAACACTCATCTTGCTAGTGATTGTCAATATAGTGCTACTAATACACATATATTATTGATATATTAATCCATCTAACGTTATTTTTTATGAGCTCTCTCAAAACTCTAGTCTAATCTTTATTCGTCTATTAGTTAAATGTATAGTGTTTTAGGCTGAGATGCTGGAGAGCAATGATTTTTCAGTTGCAATGATAAGTAGTTGTATGCTAAGTAAACACGAACAATTCGATTGTGAGTTTATGACCCCAAATATACACATATATATTATGTGTGTATTTGTACATGTAAAGGATATCTTTGATGATTTAATAAGTATTAGGTGCCCAAATGCTAACTACATAATATTATCTATTAACTATTAATAAAAACAGAAGTTGTTGATGTCACCATTGTCCATATGTCGCTGTCTCAATAAAATTTCCCGCCTAAATGCAATGATGATTAATCCGTGGTTTATACACACGGGTGTACAGTGCTCATCGTACACCCGGATAAATTAAAAAAAAGCCGGAAAGAACATCCTGTGTTTCATAAAGAACATACATGTGTTTGACAAAGAACATATTTGTATTTGACAAAAACATGCATTACCAAAGAACATAAAGATATAATAAAAAGAATAAGATAAAAAACTTAATAAAAATTTTCTGAAAAATTATACATTAACGGAAAAAATTAGAGGTGAAAAAAATCGAGTAGGGCCAGGCCATACCATAATTTCTCGTGCCCAAACCCATGAAAAAGTAGCGGGTTTTTGGGCTTTTTCCGGGCCCGGTTCGGATTTTAACTAAAAATACATTTTTAGGCTTGCCCAAACCCACCTTATTTCGGGTCGGGCTGCGAGTCATGCCGATGTTGATCACCTCCTTAAAAATATTTACCAAAGATTTCATTTCCCCAAAAAATAGTTTCTATCTCTCCAAAAAAATCAACTTCCCATAATAATTTAGTTTTTTTACTCTAATATTATTTTCAATTAAAAATAATTTAAGATTTCAATATCAAATTTCAAAATAACACATGTTAAAAGAACATAATTTATATTGGAAAGTACATATAATTTTTTTTTGAGGAAGGAAAGTAAATATAATTAATACCTAAATAACACACTGATCAAACTCAAAAAACATACGATAATAAAAGTTATCTAAATTTGACATATGATAATAAAAATAGAATTTGGGTGTCGCTACGACCTTAAAGAACATAAACGCCAAATTTAAACAACAAACTTTGTAGTATTAAAACCAAAAAATCATATATGTTTATCAACATATGTTAAATAACATAAGTTATAATGTAAAGAACATATAATTATACTCAAAAAACACACTGATCACACTCAAAGAACATATTAAAGGTATGTTCTTTGTCAAATATAGATATGTTCTTTATCAAACATTGTTCTTTCCGCCTTTTTTTTTGTTTACCCGGGTGCACCCGAGTGTATTATCTAATTTTCAATGAAGATATCATTGTTTTATATATATATATATATATATATATATATATATATATATATATATATACACATAATTTTTTTTACAACTATTCATTTAACATTTTTGAAATTTAAATATTGAAAGCTTCTACATTGCAACTAAAACCTATCAATTTATCGTTGGAAATTGAAACAATTTTAAATAAATAGCACACTAATAAATGACCTCCTATATTGAACTATGAATTAGACAACGTAAAACAGATACCTTATCATAATTTTGATTAAATAAAAAAAAATTAAAATAACAAAAATATACGTAATTCTTATTTATATTCATGTATAATACTCCGTAGCGATTTATTTTTAAAATGTACAAATTAAAAATAGACTTTATATAAATCGTGCATCGCAGGGGTTTTAACCTAGTTCTCTAATAAAATATACTACCTCCGCTTTGCATCACTCACAACAAAGAGTAGTTTTGCAGACTCCTAGACAAAAGATCTTAAGCATAGTAAAATTAAACTAAACCACCCACCACCAACTAGCTGTAGCATCGAACCAAACCAAATCAAACCGAACCCACAAGCCGCAGCAACACATCAAACCCATGAGCCACAGAACCCTCATGAGCCCTCGAGCCGCTGCAACCCACGTAGATCTGGAATAAACCACCCACAAAGCCACTAACCACGAACTCACAAAGCAGCCACGAACCCACAAAATTGTTGCGAGCAATGTAAATCAGCCATTTTTGGCAAATGTTGCGAATAATGCAAAGTTGAGGTAGTATAAAGGTGTCGAAAATCTAAGAAAGACAAGGAAATGAAATGTCATAATTACACACCTCTTTTGCTAAACTCTCCACGCACCGTAATTCAAATTGAGACTTCATTCCAAAACCATTTGTAACAACTATGAGTAAATGAACTCTCTACACTTGGTAGTGTCTTCTCTTCTTTTATTGAATCATTTAAGGCAGTACTCTCTCCATTTTGTAATCACTGACATACTCCAACTGACGCAAAGTTGAAAAAGTTGAATGAATGGATTCAATTAAATTGTTTCCTAATGTTAAGGGTTAGATATTTTTTTAACTCACTTAAACTAAAGTATAAACGTGAAAGAAAAGAGAAAATATGGAGATTTTTAAGTGTGTCAATTATCAAATAATGATAATAAGCGAAAATAAAAACTGTATCAGTTATCACGAAGCGAATGGAGTACAACTTACAGGTACAAGAGTACACATACATAAGAGTCCCAACTCCCAACAGTCACAAACATATGCAAGAGTAAATATTTTAGACTAGCAATTATATTTATTAATGAAATCACTATTTATGTACAAATTGGTCAGAATTACAACAAAAGGGTAACAAATTTTTGGTAAAAGAGGAAGGATCAAATGCTTCTGCAGCAGGTAGTTGTAAGTGACCTAAGCTAAGTGGGGTACCTTCCCCTAGTTAAAAGGAGCACAAAAAATTCAGCAGTCAAACAACAAATTAAGTATCCCTGATAAAAATTTACTGCTGTTTCAGTTTTTCTTCTCACTTTTTTTTTTTCAATAATAACATTTTTATATTATATGATCCCCAACAAACTTGTTCAGAAAAAATTAAGCTAGTCTACCCACTTTTCTGTAACATTATTTAAAGCCCCTTTCTTTATTTTTGTTACACCTTTCATTTTTGGGACTTTAATATTTGGTCAATTCATCAGTTGTCCCAACCTAAAACTACCCAATTTTTTTGGGTCTTTTTTGTTTTAATTTATAAAAAAAAAAACCCCATTTTTTATATATTACGGAGTAAAAAAAAATGGGGTTTTGCTAGCTAGCTTAAAATTTTCTGTGCTCCAGCAGCAAGATCAATAACCACAGTACTGAAAGTGATGAGTAGCTCCAAAATTGTTCAGGAACCGTCCCCCTCCTCTACCTAATATTCCTTCTTCGTCTTCTTCTTGCAAATTATCAACCTGTCAAATTACCAAAAATTAAAAAAAAAATGTTATTAATCACATTACATAAGGACATAAGGTTAAACTCAATTGTCAATTTGTCATGCTAAATATGGTAAATATTCGGTTGAGGAAAACATTGCATAATGATGCAAGAACTTTTTAAGCTATATATGTTGACAACAACTTGGCGTGGTAGCTTACTTTGCATCTAGTACTACATACGAGTACTCGTGAAGTCGTGCTATGATTGTTTGCAATTATGCTAGTTATGTTAATTGTCTAACAGTTTCGGTCTCTTCTTCAATAACTTAAAGGTAATTGACTCGGATTGGTAAATTTGTTTGGTGGTAGTTGACTTACTCATAGGACAGAGTATTTCATAACATTATGGATCCCATAAGTCGTGTTATTTTTCTCTAGGAAATAGTAGTATTACTGCTTATGAAAAGTGTATTGACTGAAAGGGACAAGGCTAAAACATATATAACCAACTTTGAAATAACAGGTTAGATTGTCGTGGTACAATACCATCACACTCATGTAAAGCATATAGATGCCATATAGTGTGTTATCAAGGATTAATTCGAATTAGAATTACGGAATACATCATAGTTCTTTGTAATTTTTACGCACGAAAACGAATAAAACAGCATAAAAATCCTACATAGTTTCATAGTATAGACGCATTCGTTTGACTGATATCCTAATCAATTAATCATACATAGTTCAGTTTTCATCAAATTGGCATACAAAAAAAAAGATAAAGATGGAACATGCAAAAAGAAATCATACACATATAATAGTACTTATCAAAAACTTCCATATTCCATGTACAATTATTTTGATTTATATTCTTGTTATTATCATTTTTCATATTATCCAAACCCAATAATTGAATGCATGAAGAAATAAATAGAATTAAATTAAGAAAAGCAAAAGAAAATTTACCCAGAGATCATCATCATCTTCATAACGATTAAAACAGGTGGGTTTTGGAATCTCTCCAGTCTCATCGTTGCGTGCGAATCTGCCACGTACTCTTGGTCTATTGTCGGCTAGCGTTTTTCGGCATGCATACTGCCACCCAACAAAATTAATTACTAATTTTAATTTTAATTTACACTTATAATTGAACAAAAATAGTAATAATTTGTTAATAAAATAACACAAACATTAATCTTTAATCATGTCATCCTCCTGTTTTGGTGAATCAAGTAACATAAACTAGTAACGTGTCAACTAAATCCCGATACATAGAATATCGATTCCTTAAAAGGGTATGTACCTACCTTGATAGTCTTGTTGAAGTTGCGTTGAGTACGTTTAGCTCTGTACCTATCAATCCTTTCTTTTCTTTCTTCCGCACTATATTTTCCTACTTTGAAATTTGATTCTTCCGTCGAATTTCCTTCTCCTGATAATGGACTTGCTGTTGATGAACATACTCTTCCTCCCACCTTTTAAAAAAATAAAAAATAATGCATTTTAATAACAATAATTCTAATTAAATTACTTAAAATAAAATACAATTGAGTGAAAAACAAAAAAGGCTTAACTGGTAAATCCCCAGTGCTACAGACACGTCTCATTTGACCATTTTCGAGTTCCGGGGCAAAATTTTGAACCTCCAACAGAGTACTGAATTTAGGTTGAAACCAAAAACTTGGTTTCCCATCAAAAGAGTTACTACTGTAGCTTCTTTGCATGAATTTCAGCATAGTTTCATTACTACTTTCATTAGTATTAGAATTATTGTTATTAAGAAAATAAGAGTTGTAACTATTTGGTGGGTAGTCAAAACCCACTTGAAAATCCTCTGATTTTATACTATCTGAAACAACAGAGTAATTTTCACTACTAAACACGTTTCCCAAACTACCCACCAAATGACTTTGTTGTTGTCGTTGAAGAGAAAGTGTTTCTAATTGGTGACTTGGAGGTGAATTGGTGAAAAGGGTATGGGCAATTTGGTCAAAAGATTGTGCATCATCAGGTGAAATTTGGGTGGTGGTAGTAGTAGTTGTGGTGGTGTTTTGATAGTTGGTGTTGTTGCGGCCACGGCCGCGACTGCGGCTATTGTTTGTTTGATCATCGGAAAATTCATGAAAGATGCTATCAATGGAAGAGTCGGAAAGAGTTGGAATTTGGTCAGTGAAGAAATTGCCTGAAATTTCATCAGGAGAAATCATGTTTGTTGGTAAATGAGAGTAATAAGGTTCATCAAACATGAACATATCAGAAGACATTTTTTGTTTTTTTTTTTGTGGGTTTTTGTATGATCAAATGAAATTTGGCATGAAATGAAGGAAGAATTGAAGAAGAAAGACAAAAAGAAAGACAAGGCAAAACTTCACTTGACTTTCTTTTCTCTAAATTTGTGTGTCTTCTTGCTGCTGTGTAGTTTGTGTGTTTTTTTTTTTTTTTTTTTTTTTTTTTTTTTTTTTTTTTTTTTTATGTTGAAAGTGGAGGTAATAGTTGGACCAGTGCACTGATGGCTCGATGCTCTCTATTTAAAGAACCAAAAAGGTTGTATTTCCTACATCTAGTTGTTGCTCATGCCCACTAATTTATGTATGATGAGGTCAAGGTTCGATACTTTGTACGACAAACTAATTAAAAGAGTTGTTTTGTTTGTGTTGGCTTACTCCTAATTTATTGCACAGATGTAGATGTCAACTAACTTACTTATATAATACTACCTCCGTTACAGGTTATGTGCAACGATTAGACATTTTCCCTCTCTATTATATGTCAAATCGTTGTACATAACTTGTAACAGAGGTAGTATTTGAATTGAAGTTTTGATAGTGGTATAACTAGTATCTATGATGGTAGAAGAAATTAAATATTTATAACAAGAGGTTTAGGGTTGAAATGGTCAAACTAAGTTTGGAGGTTCAAGGTTAAACACAGTCAAATCTCATCAATCTCATTTCAGGGAGGTTTTTCTTATATTCCATTCCTAGAAAGATCTTAGCCTTATTTAACCTTAAAAATTTAGAAAAGATGTTTTTGTTTATGTTGGGGATATTTTGGGCCACTTTTGGTCTATTGGACTAACAATATGCTCCATTATGTATGTATGTTGATGTTTGTTTGTTGAGTTATTTGAGACTATGGAAAGTACTATTTACTATACTTGTCCGTAGAACATAAATATAAAGAGGGTTGGGTTGGACCCTATGACAAGGTGGTCCAACTCTCAATATCAATGAAAAATTAAGGTGGTTTTTAATGGTTTTCAATTTTGTAATTAATGGGTGTTGAGGATCTATCTATGTTGACGTGTGAAGTTGGAAAAAGGTAGGGGACCCAATCTCATTAAAAATTAGGGTAATCTTTATAGTGGAAAATTCTGGTTTAATGGGCAAAGATATAATTAGTACAGTACTAGCAAATATCTTCTTAACAATGACATTAGGTTATGAGAAAAGGACCAATAGTCATTTTGGGTCAATCAAGTGTAGTAAAGGCTAAGGGGCTACGAGCATCCAGTGAGCTAGTCAAGTGGCTCGAGACCAACAGTTATCATTAATTTAGTCTCTTATAGTTGAACAGAAGAAGACGGAGTAACACTATTATCCTTGACAAAACAATGGAGAACTATTACCCTCATTTGAAAGGTACTCCGTAACCAATTTTTTCACTCCTTCCTCTTCATTCAACCCAACACTAGCTCCGCTTGTCTTCCTTCTCCTTGGTTAATTTCTATGGATTCTAAGCTATTTACTAAGAGTAGTAGCATCATCAATTTGCATACAAGATAACACCACAACCGATCATAGATTGATTAGATTACTATATAAAAATAAAGGGCCAATTAAATCTTATACAGTATTAGAACTAATTTTAACCTAAAGATAATATTTTACAAGGGGGAAAAAAAATTGTAAACAAAACTTTCATGCTCTTAAATACGAGAAAACAAAAATATAGCAACCAACTAACTTGCATAATGAGGTAATAATAATAATAATAATAATAATAATAATAATAATAATAATAATAATAATAATAATAATAATAATAATAATAATAATAATAATAATAATAGGAGTACAAAGGTGACCCCATTCGTAATTATTGAAATATAAAAGAACGTGGAAAGAATTACTTCAAATTGAAATGTTGGTTGCTTGTTTGTTTAGCATTTGAAACATGCGGTTTAAATAAAATTTTTGTCATGAATGTGACTACACGAGCTCCTATTTGATTGACATTAATAAGGAAAAATAAATAAGATAAGGTTTTAAAGTTTTGAAAATGATAAAATGATACCATCCATTTGGGCTAGAAGGCCTATAAATAATCTTTTATTTATTGGGTCTGACTTGTTTTGCCCAACTAGATACGTAGTACTTATGAGGCCCAACTTATTTTAGGTCTATGTATGTTTATATTTGAAGAGTCGAAACAAAATTCTTCATCAACTAGAGTTTCTAGATTTCTTACAAAATGTAAAATGTAAAATGCATTTCAAAGTTTCTAGAAATTCAATAGCCGGCTAGATTTCTTGACAAGTTGATGTTTGATGCATTCTTGATTCACAAACGACTTGTCTCGACATCAAGCTGGACAGCTATTCCGTATCTCCAAATTCAAATTATTGCGTTGTAGCGATCACATTATTTGTTTGGATTAGACTATCTTTTATACACAGATTCCACTGCACAGTACATGATTTGCATTGGTTTAAAGTGGACTACTAATTTGGGTGTTGGAGACTTGCCTCACACCTTTTATGTATGATTTGGTGTTTTACATTAATACAGAGGAGTCTACTCCGTATCTTGTTATTACCCTAATCCAACACTTGAAACCCATATTTTCTCTAAAGCCACCCTGAATCATAGCCCGAAGCCATATATGATATTATTCCAAACAGAAGCACGTATATAGTACCTAGTTAACATGCAAGCATATTGCTTATGTAGCCATAATTAAGTTAGTCAAACCATGCCATGTGCGTTAATACTACTGTTTCGGTTGAAAACAATGGGACCTTGCCGAAGGTCCGCTGAAATGGAGAAGACTGGATTCGATCCAAGTTGTGTTGGGCCGAAGGTTTCCTGCACAGTGAACACACGTAAACTAGCCTCGGGGGTGTTTCCGAGGAAGGCCCCTCCGATGCTAAAGTCAGTACAATGTGTAAAAGGAAGACACTATGCAAGAGAGTTTGTAGCTTGAGGCTTTTGTGGAATATTTCTGAATGCAAGAATGAGCATATGAATCTGAACGTCCCCTTATCAATGTGTCAATATGATGGCTTTTATACCTCATCATACATGGTGAGGTTGGGCCTTAGCCCAATTGGCATGCTTTGTGGGCTGACCTTTGACTTTTGTGCAATTGGAGAGTTGAACCTTGACCTTGGGCTTTTAATTGGATCATTTAGTGCTTAGGCCCAATTCTGACTAAATTGGACCCAAACAACTTGCCCCCCAGACCCGATTTGGAAGGATGACGGGTCGGGTTTGATTTAACTCAGAAAAGGAGGGAAGTAAATGATTTAATTGATCCAAAAATTTGAATTTAAACCGTAATTAATGAGATAACAACGGTTAATGATTTGCGGAAGTTGGACGGATAATGGGCAGTTTAATCACAAGACATGTGTTTAATGGTTACTTAGTGGGTATTTAAGAGAAATTAAAGCACAGACTCTTCGCATCCCGTACCTGAAGATATAAACAGAGGCGCGTCATTCTCCTCACTTATTCACCGACACGAACCCAGACTTCCTCGAGAGAGAAACCAAGAACCCGCATCAAAACTTCGCAAATTCCCCGAGCATTGAGCTTAGAAACTGAGACTTGCCACTACGAACTCGTAAATCGGCAACTTTCGCTTCAGATTAAGGTAAATTCCTTTGATTTCAGTTTATTTTTCTTCGAATTCGAACTCCTTCCCCTTTTCTTTCGACTTTTCTCTTCGAAATAATCCATGGCAAGAGGAGTTAGAGGTAGAGCCCGTGCTCCAAGAAGAGCAAGGCCGATTCCCGATCCTAGGAACAGGATTGGGACCTGGAATGGTCAAAGGCCGGAGTCTGACCCTGCTGAAGGGATTAGGGCGACTCCCCTTTCCTCGGCTCCTCCTCAAAGAACGGATGAGCCGAGCGCTTCTGGACGGGATGATGAAGTTCCCGCTGTCCTTTGGGATATCCTCCCTGGGTTTTCAGAGTGGGAGAATGCCGAAGTCGTTTCGGCCATGATAAAGAACCGCCCCTACTCATGGTGGGTAGAGAACGCCGATCAATATCGATTTGCCGAGCAAATTGAGTTGCATTACGGCATTTTTGAAGCTGATGGATATTGGTGCCGAATGCCCTCAGCATCCGATAGAATCCATCGTCCACCCCCGGGGTATGTGGGGGTGTACACGAGACAGCTTCAGTATGGGCTGAGGTTCCCTTTGGACGTTTTCGTCCGAGACTTGCTGATCCATTACAACATTTCCCTATGTCAGCTAACCCCCACCAGCATCCGAAGGGTGATGACATACTTATGGGTCTGCAAGTTCTTCAAGTACGTGCCGAACCTGCACTGCTTCAGAAAGCTCCATCGGCTAGTGCCAAATATTCAAAGTGGGCACGGAAGCCATGGTTCTGGGTGGTATCGGATTGAGTCCCGGCCCCAATACTTGACCATGTGGCCAAATGACTCTTCAGACAAGGACTGGAGAGGTCAATGGATTTGGGTTAGGGCACCCACAGATCCGGGCCACCCTTGCGTCTTCAGCGCTCCCCGGTACTTAGCTGAGCCTGATCCCGAAATGGGAAGTCTAGGTCCCCCCGCAGATAACGGGGCGGATCCGAACCTGGATCAGCAACATATCTTCGGCAAGCTGCCGAACCCGGGGGGAAGTGGTCGAATGCAGCATATCCCGGAGACTTGGCTCCCCGATACGCATTACGTTTTCCAAGAGAACATGCTAGCAGCTGTTGGCCTCAGCCGAAAGTTTAAGGATGGTAAGCTTCTTCGGCTGGGGCCGAGGCTTTTTAACTACCTCTTTTTCTTCTCTCGCTTTGCTTTTTTTATGCTGTGCCGACATATCTGAGCTAAACTTTTCCCTTTCCTTTTTTCAGAGCGGGACGAGACCAACGTTGGTATTAACTACGCTCGTCTTGGTGTTAACCGAGAGCGAGTTGTAACTGAACGGGCCCCGTCTATCACTGAGCCGAGGCATAGGGAAGTTCATCTGGATTCTTCCCACTTCCAAATTGAGGCTGTTGCTCTGTATCAGAGGCAGAAGCCTTGGTGGAAGAAGAGAGACCCTTGGTTTCAGCTGCTGAACGAAGAAGCTGAAGCTGCCCGCACAGCCGAAGAGGTTGCACGGGTACTTGAGGCTTGCGAAGGAGGAGAAGGGTCCTCCAGAGCTGCTGAAGCCGAAGCTGCAGCTAGAGCAACTGAAGAAGACGAGGCTTTGCTGAAAACCTCGGTGAGCTTTCAGACAACTTTTTTTTTTTTTTTTTTTTACTCACATTCTTCTTCCCCCCTGTCTGTTACAGTCTGAAGAGAGTAACAGACACAGAGAAGGCAAAGCTCCTGTTCGTCCCGAAGACCAAATACAAGAGTCTTCAGACTCAGATATGGACGAGCAGCCCCTTCTGAAAAGGCGCCGAAGGATGGCCATCATCGGCCCTCATGACTTTCAGCAGAGGCCGATGACCATCGGCGTCGCAATAAGGGAACCTGAGGAAGGCAATGGATCGCCGAGGGTTCCCCAGCCAACACCCCAATCT